CAAATACTAGGTTCGCCGTGACCAACACGAGTTAATAACGGACGACTCCAGCGATTGTTTTATTACTATACGGCCGACAATATAGCTTACAGCGGCTGTAACAGTTAGCCATCACAGTACTTGGTCGTTATGCGTGAACTCTTATGTAAAGCTGCGGCGAAGGGCAAATGTGACATTGAGATGGTCCGTAGTCGGCATTGCAATATTATTTAATAGAATGAAACTTCCAAATTTTTCGCACAGTGATGTAGATGACGAGGCCGTGACAATGCCATATTGATGACACATAACATGGTCACGCAAAGCCACAGTAACTCTGAATGCAGAGCTTAACACAGTCATGTAACAGGTTACGTAAAATCTGGTCATGGTTAACACGGCAATCTGTAGCATGATAATGTTAACACAGTCATGCACATGATCACTGGAACACGGCACGTCTTAAATAACAAGCCCAATATAACGCTAATTTAACGTGGTTACCTTCAAACATGGTAATGTAACGGTGTCTATACCTCGATAAAATTGCAAGATGTAATATAACACGATACATAAAGTGTAAACATAGTTTTCACGGTACACGCGCATGTAAACATAATTTCACATATAAATCTATAACACCATAATATAACTTAATAGAAAGGTCATGATACTAATAAAAGGTAATCGAAATCACCGGTATAGCAGTACGCTCAACCCAGAATTAGACTCATCAACCACGACAAACGTCAATAACTGTTAAATAAATTTAGAATTAAAAGACCTGGTTAAGATTTACCTGTTAAAAATGCTTTTTTTCTGTTTTTTTTAACTATGTTTTAGTCCAGATTCATCAGCAATTACCTTGATGTAATCCTAATGTAACATACCTGTCATATCCTAAATAATATTGTTGACACTCGATACCAAAGCGTTGACAGGGTGGAGCGTTTCTATCGATCATCTTTTGTGTTCTCTATGTAACACAGGACGACACTATGACTAATAACAGTTCTAACCATAGAAATATATAGAGACAAATGTCTAACTAGTATATTATTTCTATGGTTCTAAACACGCATAACACAAGATACATACAAAACAGGATGTAGTTGCGTTGCATCCTCAATGTATAGCCATATAATGTGCCAATTCACTGTACATTTCTGCTCTCTCTTCTTCATTTTTTTCTCCCTCTTCCTCTCGCGCCGTTTCGCGCTCTCTCTCTCTCTCCTCTCTCTCTCTTCTCTCTTCTCTCTCTCTCTCTCTCTCTTCTCTCTCTCTCTTCTCTCTCTCTATTCCTCCTTTCTCTCTCTTCTCGCTCTCCTTTCTAAATCTTCTCTCTCTCTCTCTCTCTCTTTCTCGCTCTTCTTCTTTCCCTCTCTCTCTCATCTTTCTCTTCTCCCTCTCACTCTCCTCTCCTTCATTCTGTGGGTGTGTAGTGTATGTGCGCCGGGGCGCGAGTGTGTGTGCGTTATGGCGTGCTTCGCGCGGCTGGCCGCGCGTGTGTGTCGTGTTGTGATGTGTGTGTGTGTGTGTGTGTGTGTGTGTGTGTGTGTGTGTGTGTGTGCGTGTGTGCGTGTGCACGTGCGTGTCTGTTTGTCTGTCTGCCTGTCTCCCTATCCGTCCGTCTGTCTGCCTGTCTGTCTGGTCCGTCGTTTGTCTGTCGTCTGTACTTCTCTGTCTGTCTGTATTGTCTGACCATCTGATTCTCTCTGTCTGTCTGTTGAAGTGCTGACTCTATTGTTAATTCAAGGATCGTCTAAGATGATCCGTACACAAGGAGCTCTTTTGTTTCTGTTTCTTTTTGTTACGGCAGACGGGAAGCGCGAGAAGCGTCTCGCCGACGCCTTCGAGTCTGTTTTCTGGTCGCGCGATGTCGGTGTCACCTCCACTCCTTACGTCGTCGGGGGGATCGTTGTCGCCATCCACGCTTTCGCGCCGCTCGTTACTTAGCCTGCCCTTGCAGTCCCTAGCAGCGGCGGCATGCCCGCTGCTATCGCTTCGCTCCGTAGCTTTATGCGCTGGCGCGCGCCGACCTGTGAGAACTGGACAGACGCGCCAAGCTGGTAACTGCTCGCTATATTGTTCGCGAGGGGTCGGAATCTTTTCTGTAAAACAGAAATACCGTAACGCGGAGATGTAATGTATGTGTATTGTGAGGCGCGACACAACCAGGGCCTGTAGACTTGCAGCAAATTCCTAGGGAGGGGCAAAATTTCATGACTCAACTGTTTGTAATGTATTTGAGCGACGGGCGCACGCTCTGATCGACGTCCATAGTGTGGCTAGGGCGTGAGGCTCATGCACAAGCGCTTCGGGACAAGGGCTTCCACGGATAAGTGACGCCCAAAAATCACGTTAGTGTTATTTAGATTATTGGCCTAAGCTTTTACCTCGCCACGCGAGTGGAACGAGGTAATGTATCGGTCTCGTGTGTGTGTGTGTGTGTGCACTGTGTCCAGTCGCGCGGCCCGCGATTCGATTAGCGCGTCGAGTCAGCGAGCGCGGTCGTGCCGATCGACCTAGCGTGTCGATGTCAGCGAACGCGGAGTCAGACCAGCAGCGCTGGTGAGTCTCAGCAGCAACCACCAGCGAGCTGGCGAGTCAGCAGCCGCACCAGCGAGCGTTCAACAGTCAGCAGCAGTGCGATTTCAGTCAGCTAGCAGCAGCTCAGCGAGTCGGCGAGCCAGCTCGTAAACATACATGTTACTCTGCCGGCGGCAGGTATGCCACTTCTCCGTGAGTGCCCTCTGTCTGTTTTTTATTATGCTCAAAATCTAGGGGGACTGCCCCCTTGCCTCTCTCGCTGCTAGTCACTCACACTGCTGTGCTGGACAGACGCGTCATCATCGCTCTCTCTATCTCTCTCTCTCTCTCTCTCTCTCTCTCTCTCTCTCTCTCTCTCTCTCCCTCTCCTCTCTCTCTCCCTCTCCTCATTCTGTGTGCGTGTTGCTAGTGTATGTGCGTTGTGTGTGCGCGTAATGGTTGCGTGCAGTGCCGTTGTGTGTACCCGCGTGTGTGTGTGTGGTTCCAGTAGTGCCACGTGCGTGTCTGTTTGTCTGGTCTGCCTGTCTCCCTATCGTCCGTCTGTTCTGCTGTCTGTCTGTCCGTTTGTTTGTCTGCCGTACTGTCTCTCTGTCTGTCTGTTTGTCTGACCGTCTATCTCTCTGTCTGTCTGTTTGAGTGCCTGAACACTGTGTTAATCTCAGGATCGTCTAGATGATCGCCTACAAAGGAGTCTTTTGTTTCTGTTTTCTTTTTTGCTTACGCAGACGGTAAGCGCGGAAAGGGTCTCGCCGACGCTTCGAGTCTGTTTCTGTCCGCGCCAATATCGCGTCGTCACCTCCACTCCTACCGATCGATCGGTGTTGTCGCCATCACGCTTCGCGCGCTCGTTCATTAGCTGGCTTGCATGTCCCAGCAGCGGCGCATGCCCGCTTGCTTCGTTCGCTCCCGTCAGCTTCACGGCTGGCGGCGGCACCTGTGAGAACGGACAGACGCGCAAGCTGGAACTGCTCCCGGATATGTCCGCGAGGTCGGATCTTTTCTGTAAAACAGAAATACGTACGCGGAGATGTAATGTTATGTGATGTGTAGGCCGCGACACAACCCAGGGCCGTAGACTGAGCAAATTTCCTAGGCGAGGGGGCGCAAATTCATGACGTCAACTGTGTAATGATGAGCGACGGGCGCAGCTTCTTGATCGACGTCCAATAGTGTGGTAGGGTGGTCATGCCCACAAGGCTTGGGACAAGTGATTCCACTGGATAATTGACCCCAAAAATCACGTTATGTGTTATTTACGATATATTGCGCTAAGCTATTACCTCGCCACGGAGTGCGAGCGAAGGTAATGTAATCGGGTCTCGTGCTGTGTGTGTGTGTGTGCGCTGTTGGTGTGTGTGTGCCGTTGGTGTGTGTTTCCAGTCGCGCGGCGCGATCGATAGCGACGTCGAGTCAGCGAGCGGGGCGGCGCGATCGATAGCGTGTTCGGATGTTCAGCGAGCGGCGAGGGTCAGCCAGCAGGCCGACGTGATCGAGCAGCAACACCAAGCGCCAGCGCGCGAGTCAGCAGCCGCACCAGCGAGCGGGCGAGCTCGAGCAGCAGGCGAGTCAGTCAGCAGCAGCAAGCAGCGAGCGTGCGAGCCAGCTCGTAACACAATACATGCTTACATGCTGGCGCGAGCGTATGCACTCTCCGTGAGTGCCCTCTGTTCTATTAATTTTTTAATTGTGCTCCAAAATCTAGGGCGACTGCCCCCTTGCTCTCCCGCTGCCTAGTCACTCACCACTGTGCTGTGGACTAGACGCGTTCATCATCGCTCTCTCTATCTGCTCTCTCTCTTCTCTCATCTCACCCTCTCCCTCTCCTCTCCTCTTTCCTTCATTCTGTGTGCGTGTGTAGTGTATGTGACCCGTCTGTGTGCGCGTATGTGCGTGCGTGCGACGTGAAGCGTGCCTGTGTGTGTGTGCGTGTGACTGTGGTGTCGCTGTTTGTCTGTCTGCCTGTTCCTCTATCGTCCGTCTGTTCTCTCTGTCTGTCTGTTTTGTTCTGACCGTCTATCTCTCTGTCTGTCTGCTTGAGCTGCCTGGACACTGTGTTAATCTCAGGCATTCGTCTAGATGATCGTACACAAGGAGCTCTTTTGTTTCCGTTTCTTTTGTTACGCAGCACGCAAGCGCGGAATAGCGTCTCGCCGACGCCTTCGCAGTCTGTTTCTTGTCGCGGCTAATTCGTTCGTCACTCCACTTCCTACCGTCGTCGGTGTTGTCGACCATCCGACGTTCGCGCGCTCGTTACTTAGCTGCTGCAGTCCCAGCAGCGGCGGCATGCCCGCCTGCTTCGTATCGCTCCCGTCAGCATTCACGGCGTGGCGGCGCGCACCTGTGAGACGGACAGACGCGCAAGCTGGCAACTGCTCCCGGACTATGTCCGCGAGGTCGCCGGATCTTTTCTGGTAAAACAGAAATACTTCGTACGCGGAGACTGTAATGTATGTGATGTGAGGCGCGACCACATACCAGGCGCCGCTTAGAACTGACAATTCCTAGGGGATTAGGGGGGCAAAATTTATGCAGCTCAACTGTGTAATGATGAAGCGACGGTGCCCGCAGCTCTTGAATCGACGTTCCATAGTGTTTGCGTAGGGCGCGCTGGGTCAGGCACAAGGCTTGGGACAAGGCTTCCACGGCATAAGTGACCCCAAAATCACTTCGTTTAGTTGTTATATTACGGATTATTGCTAAGCTTATTACCTCCGGCCCACGGATGTTGGAGCGAGCGTAATGGTATCGCGTCTCTGTGTGTGTGTGAGTAGTGTGTTGTGTGTGTGTGTGTGTGTTGTGTGTGTATGTGTGTTGTGTGTGTGTGTGGTGTGTGTGTGTGTGCCAGTCCGCGCGGCGGCGATCGATAGCCGCGTCGAGTCAGCGCAGCGGCGCGGCGCGATCGCATAGCGTGTCGATGTCGCAACGGCGGCTCGGCGCGATCGACTAGCGTTGTCGATGTCAGCGGCGGCACGGACGCGATCCGCGCGGCGTAGTCAGCAGCAGGCGATCGCCGACCCGGCTGTGACGTCAGCAGCAACCACAGCGAGCCGGCGAGTCAGCAGCGCACCAAGCGAGCTTGCGACGTCAGCAGCAGGCGAGTCAGTCACAGCAGCAAGCAGCGAGCGGCGAGCCAGCTCGTAACACATACATGTTACATGCTGGCGGAGGTATGCACTCTCCGTGAGTGCCCTCTGTCTAGTTTTTTAATTGTGCTCCAAAATCTAGGGGACTGCCCCCTTGCTCTCCGCTGCTAGTCACTCACACTGTGTGTGGACAGACGCGTCATCATCGAGCGAGACTCGGCGCGCAGAAGCTGAGCATCCTCCTCCATCTCTCCGAAGTCTGGACACACGAAGCTCTGCCGCGACACGAAGCAGCAGCGCACCGGAAGCTCCTCCGACTTTGGATTGTCGGAAAACTCGTAATCACCGTACGTCAGCTGCCTGAGAAGAGAAAGTGTGGTGTTATAGGCAGTGCTGCGAGGAAGTGCGATGTCATAGAGGGCGCTGAAAGGATGTGCAATGTTATAGGCGGCGCTGCGAGGAAGTTCGATGTTATATGACACGTGACCACTATAAAATCACTTCCGGTTCATTACCCTGTTAGGTTAGAGGATGTGACGCGTCATCGGCCGACCACTCGGAAGGCCCGCAGCTCGTGCACTAAAGCTGACGCGACGTTTTGTGGTTGCATTATTTAGGCTGGCTATCGTGTGTGGCAATGATATGCACATTGAGATGGGTGGATGGTTACTGGTAATTTAAAACGAATTCTTTCAATGTATGGCCCCCATTGGACTGCGCGACTGTTTTTCAGGCACAAATGTGGTGTCGTTTAGTAAATTCGCGATATTTTTTTAAAACGCCGAACAACATATGTCATAACTCTAATGGTGCACAGCTGAAGTACATGGCTACCTGGCTTTAATATTGCCACTTGGCCGAAAACGGTTGAAATACTATTTTTCAGCTCCTGAAATTCAATTCTTAAGTATAGGATCCTATGGAGGATTTAATAGTGGTCTGTTCTCATATAGGGCGCTGAGAGGATGTGCAATGTTATAGGCAGCGCTGCAAGGAAGTGCGATGTTATAGAGGGCGCTGAGAGTAAGAAACGACCTAAGAATGAACCTCTGGTAGATGTCTACTCCCTGAACGAGAACATGGCGCAAGCGAAAAGCGCCAGCGGAGCTCTGGTATGTGTGTGTGTGTGTGTGTGTGTGTGAGTGTGCGCGCGCGCGTGCGTGCGTGCATGCGTGCGTGCGTGCGTGCGTGTGTGTCTTGTCTTGGTATGTGTATGCGGGTGCGCGTGCATGTGTGTTTGTGTGCGTGTACCTGCCTGCCTGCCTGCGTGTTTGTGTGGTGTGTGTGCCTGCCTGCCTGCCTGTATGCGTGGGTGCATGCGTGCGCGTGTGTGCGCCTATATGTAATCATTGCCGTGTTATTTGGTATATTTGGCGTTGCATTTTTTGCAGAACCAAGAGTTGGCAAAACTGCACGGATCCAATGCATTCAAGCGCTTTATTAGTAGACATTTAGGAAAGCGCCGGCTTCTCCACACTTATTGTTTACATTTATAATTTCCCATGAGTCTGCATGAGCTTCGCCGCACGGCGTAAGCAACCAATATAAATTTCGCCATATTCGCCGGGTGATATATTGGTGTCACCCGCCACCAGCTACCTGCGTCATCCCTTAGGGACCGGATTTGTTGACGTAGACGTTAGTAGAGAACGATTCGGCTCTGATCCTTTGAATCGTATAGTCCAGTTGTTGTCCAGCTCCGATCTTGCCTTGTTATTCCCACACTTAGTCCAGCTATACTTCTCCGCTGCACCTTCCACCTTCACTCCGCCGAGCGTCTTCGTGAACCTCCTCTCCAAGGTACGAAATTACTTGTATTCGATTACTTACTCTGTGTGTGTAGTATCGTGGAGTTGTGTTGGTTTAGACTGTTAAAGTATTCTGTGATGTAATAGAAGCACGAAGAGTAGCTTTATAATACTGTGTTCGGGTTATCATTCGATCGTTCTATCGATGCAACCTGACGCTACCCTTAAAACGGGTGCCACTACCACACCTACTAAACCGTAGAACCATCAGGAAGTAGAAGCCTTCCTTAGAGACATTTTAAGTGACATTTGACTTCAAATCGTGATGCAAAGATCCCCTTTGGCATGGCAGTTCCTTAGGGTCATAGAAAAAAAAATTATCCAAAGACACACGTCATATCTCAAAATCCAAGATGGCCGCCATAGAAAAATGGAAAACATGGGCCAGTCATAGCTCATGAACCGTTTGTCATAGAAACTATTATGATACATGTTTTCTAACTAACTTGAGGTCACTAAACTCATTTCTTGTGACAATTTTGCTTTTTTATGAGTTTAAAGGTTAAATCATAGACAAAAATACATAAATGTTACATTTTTTCTAAACCACGCCAGAAATCAGAGGTGGCTATTGTCAAAGACCAACAAGCAAAGGTCACCCAGATTTTGCTGGCAACGCACTCAGGTGGCAACATCAACGAGTCTGTGTTCTCCCATGAGAGCTGCCCATCCTCCCTCACTAACTCGGAATGGATACATGCACCATGGAAACAAGAGTGAGATCCTGGACTGTATTGTACCAGCGGATTTCGACAATCGCAGACCAGAGACGACTGCCGCTGTGCTAGATGGAGCTGTGCTCGTACAAATGATTCGTCCTAGAAATACTGTGACCATCGGAGACTATTTCAAAGATGTGTTTTTGCCATACATCCTCTCTTGATTTGAAATGAACAACCGGGTTGACATTGTCTGGGACGTCTACTCCAAGACGAGCTTCAAGTCAGAAACTAGGGAACAACGTGGAAGTGGAGCTCGGAGGCGGGTTACTCTCTCGACCAAAGTTCCTGGAAATTGGGCGGCCTTCCTACGTGTTGACCTGAACAAGCAGGAGTTATTCATGGAGCTCGCCAAGTGCTTGAAGCTTGCGACACTTCCACAGGTTAGTTGACATATTGTTGCAACCCACTGACAAACATTATTAATTGTTATTATTTAAAATACCCAGGCCTCTGTTATATCCACATATCCTCAATTACATTGACTTCCTCATTTCCAGAGCAAGCAGCTTTTCACCACCATTCTCAGTGACTGTGAGAGTTTACCAGCTGGGGGAGACGTTGTAGCAGTGGCCCCATGCACACACGAGGAAGCCGACACTCGGGTATTTCTACATGTGGCTGCAGCTACATCTGCCGGTCATCGTCGAGTGATAGTCCGCACCAGTGACAGCGATGTTGTAGTGCTGGGCGTCTCTTCCTTTGTTGCACTCGGACAGAGGATTGATGAACTCTGGATTGCCTTTGGAATGAAAGGCCACTTCAGGTTAGTTCAGTTATGTTTTAAGCCAGTTGCCTTCATTGTGTGCCAATAGGTTATTGATGAGGATGATAACTCATATCACTACATTCCTTTCCAAGTACATTCCAGTGCACGACATCGTACACAAACTTGGACCATCTAGGGCAAAGGCACTACCAGCGTTTCATGCAATAACACAATGCGACACAACCTCAGCATTCTTTGGTAAAGGCAAGACGACCGCCTGGGCAGTGTGGCAGTCCATCCTTGCGCTCACGCTGCCTCTTGAGCTACTCTCATGCCCTAACCCCACCCTGGAAACGATAAATACTCACACATCTGTGCTCCAGAGATTCGTCTTGCTGCTATATGATGTAACTAAGGAGAACATCACAACTGATGATGCTGCTCGGCATTCCCGCTTCCTCCACCAAGGAAGAGACCTCGAGCACATGCCTCCAAGCAGCGATTCTCTGCATCAGCACCTTCTCAGAGTTGCCTATCAGGTAATTAAATATACATCATTGAGGACATTAATCGTGCTCGAGATTGCTGAATTCATTTTTATTTCTTGAATCGCACACATTTTATTAGCTATCTATACATTCTATCTAATCAGTTATGTATCTTGTCACTTCAGAGTGGACACGTGTGGGGTAATACGCTCGTGAAAGCACCAGCTCCAGTATCTCCAACAGAATGGCGATGGCAGCAAGAATTACCAGACTATGCGCCAACTCCAGTCTACACAACAACTCCCACTATTTCGCGGGACTTGTCAGAGCTTGCCATTTGCTAGTGTAAGACTGGATGTAAAGCTCCTTGTAAGTGCTGCGTGCAGAGACAGTGGTGTATGCTTCTCTGCAGATGTCAAGGTTCGTGCCCCACACTGGCAGGATGTACCAGGACAAGAGAGGAGAAGAGGAATCAGCCTAGCCCTAATCGAAGAACTTGTGTAATTACAACATTGTGCGATGAATAATCTAATTACCTCAAATTTCTGCATGTGAAAACCAATAAAATTTGTTATAATTTGTATTATTTTTTGGATTTCACCTTTAAATGCATCTGAAATGCGGCGGCCATCTTGGATTTTGAGATATGACATGTGTCTTTGGATAAATTTGTTTCTATGACCCTATGGAACTTCCATGCCAAAGGGGACATTTGCATCATGATTTGAAGTCAACACCCTATTTTGTGCACTTAAAGTGATTACGTCACCGTAAATAGTACAAATAAAAAAATATTTCCACTTTTTCACAAAATATAAGTAATTCTGTTCACTTTTTATGGTTAAATTGCTGCATTATACTTCCTATTTTACTATATGGTTCGATGTGAACGTACACTCGTGACTCATAGCAAGCAATTAATGTCAGGAACATTATTTCAAATCGTCCAGGTTTTTTAGATTTTTAACTAGTTGAGAAACAATCTTATCAGGTAAGAATTTGATGATACGTTTAGTCCCGTTAGTTCTTACTTTTAATGTAAAAAATGGCAACAAACATTTTACAAATTTTACCATAGAAAATTTGTGACGTAGTCAATTTAACATGTCTACTATATAGAGAAAAGCGGAAAATACAACATGCCCGAGGTAATAATTAAGGCAACAGTTGAACTATCCTGATTAGATGCGCTTACGTGCATATATATAAGGGCAAAGCAACAAACACACACGCGCGTACGGGCACACACACACGCACACACACACACACACACACACACACACACACACGCACACGCACACGCACACGCACACGCACACACACACACCACACACACAGCGAACTAACGCCTGCGCATAATATAGTATACTAGTATATATATATATATATATATATAATATATAAATATGATATTAGTGTCCTTGTTACTGATCGGATGACCTAAGCAGCCAACCATATGAAGCAGGTATATCGTAGTTGATAGTCGCCAGCACAGTCTAGTGTACGACAACACACCTTTATACGTAAGACCACAAACACAAGACAGCCGAAGCTACAGCCGTCACCGGACATTTCGGCCACTAACTTCTGCTAGCTATCATAGGTCGACTCTCACCACCTGCCTCACCTCTCGCGCAGCTGACCAATGCCTCCGCGTTATCTGCACCCGTGATTAACTCGTGGTATAACGGCCCATGATCACTGAGAACTGCCGCGCGACGAGTGCTCGCGATGCTAATCAAGCGCTGCGTGTCAGACAACTGACAATCATGCACGTGACAATTATTGCGTTCTACTCTATAATCTATATTGCATTGGCTAAATTATAGAGTATAGGGGCCTATCTAGTATCGTTATCGGGAACAATTACCGTCGGAAGCGTTAAAGCATTATCATAATTTCTATAACGGAAATCTCGATTCTCATAATTATGAGATCAAGTGGAACGCGAACTGCATGCGCTTCGAGAATTCCAACGAGGCATAAACTACAGTCGTAGTTTAGGGAGGACCATCTCTGGCATCGAGAACACTATCTATACACACGGTGGCATCATCACACACAACACGCACCACGCACGCACGCACGCACAGACACAATCCAGCCACGACACCATCACACGCGAACTAACGCTAAGCGCGCCTATATATATATTATATATATATAGTATATTAATATAACTTTCCTGTACTTACTGATGAATGACGTGGCTCGCACCACAGCAGAGAAGTAGGTATATCGTTAGTTCGATATGCGCCAGCACTAGTATGTGTACGACAACACTACCATAAACAACCGAAGCTCCAGAGTGAACTCCTGGCTCGTGAATTTCATAATTTAGGAGTTTTAATGAAGACAATGTTTGTCTTCATTAACTCGGCTGATAATATGACAAATTACAAGCTCATCAGTTATAATGTTACAGCAATAAGATCGAGCTACTCGCTTACATATTTATGTTTCGCCACCTTACAGACTGGCTAGCAGCTAACGCGGCCAACCAGGCCTGTGTACTAACGTCAATCATACATCAATACGTCATATATCTAACCCTAGCAATACCGTTTCTTGGATGCTAGCTAGCAGCAAGCTTTTTTTTCGCATATACGCAGATAAACCATTGAACAATACAAAAAGATTTTCAGGCGGTCTGTAGTAAGGCGGTAGCCGAGAATTGCTACCGGTATCTTTGGTTACATTATTCTAATACATTTTCATTTCCATTTCGCCTATCCATAACTGGCTAGGACATGTGTAGCCTGCGGAACGCGTGTCGTAAATTTGTCAGCCTTTGCGATTCGACAACGTTGTTTTTGCGACGTGCACACAGGAAGCCATCTACGTGTACGGGACGTTAGGTATCTGTGATCTTATTTATTTTCCCTCGTATAACCCATTCTGAAATAGACAATGAGCGTGTTCACACACAAAGAAAAAACCGTGATGCTAATCCGGCGATGGTAAATACGAGATAATGTGTCCGTTGTTCCACAAGGCGGATTCTCGCTCGAATCGCGAGGCGGGATGTCTATAATCGAACTGCGCAGCTCACTGCCGGAACTGATGCTCCACGTGCGGCATGCTACTGCTCACTCGCGTTGAATGATGGATACGAAATACCCTGATTATTTGAGCGAGGCGTTCACAGACACAGAACGCCGGTGCAAATAATCGCGCTAAATCCAAATAAATCGTCAGTCAGAAAGTGGCGATCTGGGAGGCATTGCTGATCGCGATTATTAGTGAGATTATTGCTCACACTTGTAATTAATCTCGGTACTGTCGATGCGGATGCAAAAACCGGGATTTGCATCGCTCGCTAATTCGCGCCAGTATGAAACGCGCCTATTGAGCACAGATGTCCACATCTATTAAACTGATTAAACAATCTGAGTAAACACTATCAATTAATGTTTCAATTATACTTGGGTGCCAGCCTTTAAAGAATGTACATATTTGAACCGACTGCTCATCTTTAAACGCCTTATTGTATTATATAATTCAAGCTTCCCTAATCCATTAACTACTAGATGAAGAAGCCTAAGAGGCGACTGAGAGAAGAGAGAGAGAAGAGATAGCGAGAGAAGAGAGAGAGAGAGAGAGAGAGAGAAAGAGAGAGAGAGAGAAGAGGAGAAGAGAGACAGAGAGAGAGGAGGAGGGGTAATTGACATATGAGGAACAACAAAACGCGCCGAAGGTACGGATTCTGCGGTTTCCCTAACAGATTCCAGACAGAAATCTAAAAGAGTTCGTTGTCGCGCCAACCACCGTAAATGTCTAGATATAATAACGACGAAACAAAGAGAGAAGACAAAGATAATATGCATAGATAGGATGGATAGATATACATATTATTTAATATAACATTTATACATATATAAAATAATACATATATAGCATATATCGGGATAGACATAATATTGACATAGGAAGAGATGAAAATCTTGGTCTGTTATAAGAACAATAGATTCTTGTTTGCGCGGGTCCAACACCTAAGTAGGGTCCATGATATTCGTCAATGTGTAAAGCGGGTAGACTACCAAGCTAAGTTGTTTCTTACCGCGAATGTCAACTAACTAATATGCTAATGCGCTTCAACTGGATTAATTGATTTGATATAATTGATTGGCCGACGCTCGTTGTTTTAAGGAAATTTGTTGCTCATTGCAAGTTCGTAAGCTATAACGACAACGAGAACGAAATACACAAAAGAAAAAATTGCGGTTTTTTTTCTCTTTCCCCATCAGCTGGTGAAGGTTTATTCATCTAGGAATCTCTATTGGTAAACACGACAGCACAATCACGGCAATTTACAGTAGCATCGGGTATTAGCAGTAGAGCGATAGAGACATTCCATAAAAATTGAGAAAGATTTTTTCCATACCATATAAACTTTCTGGGCGTCGATATCCTTAACGATGGCACAAAACGCATGACATCTATAACACGTGTTGTAAAACGCAGGTAAGTCTAATATTCTATCGAAATATTTCATCTGCCAATTCGTATCATATTCGCACATCTCACCCCGCGCCCAGACCCAAATCCTCATAGTCTGATCAATAATTGCCTTTCACCTGTCCGCTGTATTTCTACTATTTCTGGAGCTCACTGTCTGCATTTCTCTTCTCGCTCTCCTCCCCATATCTCGTCGTCTGTTTCCTCTCACTCTGTCTGTACTGACCCCTCTCCCAATCCCCATTTTTTCAGCCAGCTGCATCCTACTTCCGGTCTCATGCCTCCTTTCACGTTCTGTCACCGTTTGTGATACGGAATTTCCTAATTGACAGCGATTGGCTGGCTGCTGCCAAATCAGCAGGCACACGATGCGGCGCTGTCCATGACGACGATCTAATTCGAACGTGGACGCGCAGCCGCAACGTGAGTTACGTGCGCGGCCCATTCGGCGATGGCATTGATTGATGACATATTTACGGTCCGCGTTGACTGACAATACGTACGCAGCGTCCCCAGTGGCTTTCGTGATTTTGGTTACAAATGCGGTAATCTATGAGATGCTGTGTCGTAATGACGGCTGTATCGTGTACAATTACCTCGGGTACAATGACTCGCCTCGTTCTCTCTTTGCTCTCTCAGCCAATTGCGCGCGACGTTTTCATGCAGTTATGACGACAGCGAAGGATTCAACGCGCTATAGAAAAGCGATACGTGTGAAAGATGGTTATTCGAAACGAACGCTCTGTGCTTTCGTGTTCGACAAACACGTAAGCATCAACATGCAACTATTTCTTCACTGTGGCATTTCATATATAAAAAGTCCATAGCAAACAGTCTCGCACGTATTCTTAAATGAGACATTCAGCGCCATCTACCCGGCAGTCGTTTACATCTTGTAATGTGTATTATTTCTACGTCCGTTCGGCCATTGCAGACTGCAGTGTACGTTCCGTAGCGTATGCTGGCTCTACAACTCTGTGTGCGTGTGTAGTGTATTCGTGTGTAGTGTATGTGGCGTGTGGTGGCGTATGTGCGTGCGTGCGTAGTATGTTGTGTTTGCGTGTGCACTGTGCGTGTCTGTAATGTCTGTCTGCTGTCTCCATCCGTCCGTCTGCTGCCTGTCTTGTCTGATCCGTTCGTTCTTGTTGTCCTGTCTGTCTCTGTCTTTTGTTGTCCATCGTAGTCTCTGTCATGTCTGTCTGTAGTTGAG